TACAAAATTACCCTCATTCATTTGAAAGAAAAGGCTGAAGAAAAATATGAGGGTTCTTTCATTCGCACAGCTCCGTCGCATCTCGCCTCTCTTCCTATTGCGTCTCGCCTCTTTGATTGTGATATTCTTCTCTGCTCCTCGCCTCTCTGACTCCGTCTCTACCTCACACCTATTGCTTCTCATTGTCACTACCAACTTTCTTGTTTTTCGCTTCTCATTCTGTGAAGTATAAAATGATTCTCTGTTTTTCGCTGGTTCATGCTCTGTTTCTGCTGAAAATAAATGAATATGACAGTGTTTTTTTTGTTATAATCCCTGTAATGCGATGGTTCAATGTGTTGTTAATGGATACATCGAAGGTTGTCAATCTAACTATATGACTTGTCAATGATAAGTGATTGTGACAGGTTGATATGAAGAATGGCAAGTTCAAGTGGGAAGCATTTGTTCTGCTATATCCATCCAGGGAGACAATTTATTAATGATGTAGAAGATGAAATGCAATATGTTGGAGATGGTAGCATATATAGCGTTTTGTTTTTTCATTTGACAATATAATGACATCTAAATGTAAAGTTAAGTTAATGTGTATTGATATTATTTAATGGTTACAAAGTTTTTTTAATGCCATTTGTGTGTATTGATTAGCATGAAATTCTTCATTAATATCCTTATCATGTCTAGAAATGATAAGGGTATTAATACTAAAAAAACGAATGCTAACTATGATGACATGATAGGTATATATCACAGTCTTCTCTGTCAGATCTATTGACAACCTCAACAGTGAGTGTTGACAACCTGAGGAGAAGTCATTGACAATCTCAACAGTGTCGCTAACAACTGACTCTGTGGGATAACACAGCCTCTAATCGAATAGAATTATTATCATATATAATGACTTTAACAATAAAATGGGAAGTTCTTTCAAGTCATCAATAGCTTTAAGTGAATCCAATTTGATTATAGCAGAATTTTATTGCAGAAATTCATTAACAACCTCAATAACAAGTGTTCACAACCCAAGAAGAACCTGTTGACAACCTTTGCAGTGTCAATGAATTTCTGTAATAAATTCTGTTGTAATCCAATTGGGTTCACTTAAAGTTGTTAATGACTTGAAAGAGTTTCCTATTTTATTGTTAAAGTCGTTATATATGATAATAATACTATTTGGTTAGAGGCTGTCCTATCCCACAAAGTCAGTTGTTAGTGACACTGCCAAGGTTGTCAACGACTTCTCCTCAGGTTGTCAACACTTGTTGTTAGGGTTGTCAATGAATTTCTGCAACAAAATTCTGTTATAATCTAATTGGATTCACTTAAAGTTGTTAATAACTTCAAGAACTTTCCATTTTATTGTTAGAGTGGTTATATATGATAATAATACTATTTGATCAGAGGCTATGCTATCCCACACACAGAGTCAGTTGTTAGTGACACTGCAGAGGTTGTCAACGGATTCTTCTTGGGTTGTGAACACTCGTTATTGAGGTTGTCAATGAATTTCTGTAATAAATTCTGTTGTAATCCAATTGGGTTCACTTAAAGTTATTAATGACTTGAAAGAGCTTCCTATTTTATTGTTAAAGTCGTTATATATGATAATAATACTATTTGGTTAGAGGCTGTCCTATTCCATAGAGTCAGTTGTTAGTGACACTGCCAAGGTTGTTAACGAATTCTCCTCAGGTTGTCAACACTTGTTGTTAGGGTTGTCAATGAATTTCTGTAACAAAATTCTGTTATAATCTAATTGGATTCACTTAAAGTTGTTAATAACTTCAATAACTTTCCATTTTATTGTTAGAGTGGTTATATATGATAATAATACTATTTGATCAGAGGCTATGCTATCCCACAGAGTCAGTTGTTAGTGACACTGCAGAGGTTGTCAACGGATTCTTCTTGGGTTGTGAACACTCGTTATTGAGGTTGTTAATGAATTTATGCAATAAAATTCTGCTATAATCAAATTGGATTCACTTAAAGCTATTGATGACTTGAAAGAGCTTCCCATTTTATTGTTAAAGTCATTATATATGATAATAATTCTATTTGATTAGAGGTTGTGTTATCCCATAGAGTCAGTTGTTAGCGACACTGTTGAGGTTGTCAATGACTTCTCCTCAGGTTGTCAACACTCACTGTTGAGGTTGTCAATAGATCTGACAGAGAAGATTGTGATATGTACCTATTATGTCATCATAGTTAGCATTCGTTTTTTTAGTATTAATACCCTTATCATTTCTAGACATGATAAAGATATTAATGAAGAATTTCATGCTAATCAATACACACAAATGGCATTAAAAAAACTTTGTAACCATTAAATAATATCAATACACATTAACTTAACTTTACATTTAGATGTCATTATATTGTCAAATGAAAAAACAAAACGCTATATATGCTACCATCTCCAACATATTGCATTTCATCTTCTACATCATTAATAAATTGTCTCCCTGGATGGATATAGCAGAACAAATGCTTCCCACTTGAACTTGTCATTCTTCATATCAACCTGTCACAATCACTTGTCATTGACAAGTCATATAGTTAGATTGACAACCTTCGATGTATCCATTAACAACACATTAAACCATCGCATTACAGGGATTATAACAAAAAAAACACTGTCATATTCATTTATTTTCAGCAGAAACAGAGCATGAACCAGCGAAAAACAGAGAATCATTTTATACTTCACAGAATGAGAAGCGAAAAACAAGAAAGTTGGTAGTGACAATGAGAAGCAATAGGTGTGAGGTAGAGACGGAGTCAGAGAGGCGAGGAGCAGAGAAGAATATCACAGTCAAAGAGGCGAGACGCAATAGGAAGAGAGGCGAGATGCGACGGAGCTGTGCGAATGAAAGAACCCTCATATTTTTCTTCAGCGTTTTCTTTCAAATGAATGAGGGTAATTTTGTAATTGCACGATTGGAATTTTTCACAATTAAGTCCCTTGGGACCTCAGATTCATTTTAGCATTTCCAGGGACCTTAGAGTGATAAAATCTCTTGCTTGGGACTCTATAGTAATTGTCCCGAAGAAAAATCATTTTTTTTTTTAAAAAAAAGGGAATCTGGCACTACAGTTGCATCAATGCATGTTTCATAAATCCCAATTTATTTAGAACACATTAATTTAATATACTACCTCTGATTTTAACTATAAGATTTTATTTATAAATTATAAACAAAGTCTTATAAATAAAATAGAAAGTAGTATTTTTTTTAATACTTTTAAGTGATTAAAAAAGCGAGATCCCCACTGCAGCAAAGTAAGATTCCCCGACCCCTGGTCCCCATATAAGACAGTCAAAGAAAAGAAAAGACGTGCTTTTTTTTTTTTGGTAATCTAAGGCGAGTGACCCGCGATCCCCCCGGTATCCAGTGCTTTTTCTGAGTTCCTGGCCTTCTAAACTGGACCAGGTAACTCGGGACAACTGACTAATCCGGAGCGGGGTTGATTTAGGCACGCCCATTTAAGGTGCTTTGCACCAAAGGCGGTAAACCCCTCCCAACAAGCGCGGCTCCAGGTTCGAACCTTTGTCCGCCTAAATTGTGTCAGGTGCCTTTACCACTGCACCCAACACTGCACCCAACGCTTGTGGGTAGAAAAGACGTGCTTTGCTGTGTTAAGAGCCACGTGTTGCTACCCCACCAAAGACCCCTCTAGTTTTCTGGCGAATAAAAGACACGAGAACATGCGTGTCTGGTCCATCGCCATTTTTAAGTTTATAGCTTCCCTAAAGATGCAGCTTTTCATTCTTCCATAGGACTCATTAATCACTAATATACACACACATACAGAGAGAGAGAGCTGTTAGGAACAGGTTGGAGCTAAGCTTGAAAGAAAATGGAAGGAAAAACATTCCGTGGAGCTAAGCATGAGAGGTGAGGTGGAGTACGTCATATTTTAATTCGAAACCTATTCATGTTTAGTTACTTGAAAATAAGTATCAGGCATCAGCACTAGGATTATCTGAGCCCTTGCTTGGAGTGATTTTTCAAAAGTAGCTTTTTAATTGTAATTTACATGTCAAAATAAGTACATGAAATGAGTTTTATCTCTAATTACGTAAATAACTGTTTTTACTGTTTGGAGTGTGGGATAAGTACTGATACTAGCCCTGATTTAAAATTAAATTCCACGTAAATGGTTTAAGGTTACTCTTTATTGGTATAATCCCCTTACAAGAGTAAATTACAAAAGATGTAAATATATGCATCTAGTTGGAATGTTTACTTCCATTTTAAATATAATACATGAATGAATTTGTTTTGCCACTCAAAATTAAATTTTTTGTTTTTCGTCTATTAAATAATGGGTGAAGAAAATATTTTGAATAAATTAATACATATTTATGATAAATAATTAATTTAACTAATTTTTCAAATATTTGTAAATTAGTTATAACTTTTTAGGTGTATTAAGAAATGAAAGTAATATTACCTAAAACATATAAAAAATTTTAGTCCAAATTTAAAAATGACATGCATGATAAAATTTATAATCCATACGACAAGTCGTTTTATAATTTTCTTCCACCTATATGGTGGATGTCCCATCCCCTTTTAAAAAGGAAGGATGCCTGTTTATTTTCACCAGAAAACCATTTGCAATCAATTATCATTTCTCTCATTTTTTTTAATTTGATATCTATTAGTTTTTTTAATCAAATCATTTAATTTTGCACTATCAGTGCCGTCAAACCTCTCAATAAGAACTAACGATGTTAACAAAACAAAATTATAAGAGCTAATAATATTAATAGAGTGAAGGTAAAAAATTTAATAAAAAAATGTATAGACGCCAAATTAAAATTAAAAAAAAAAAAGGTTATATGGTTTTTCCTTCTTACCTTACTTCTTCTTCTTCTTTTTTTTTTTTTAAGTGCGGCGCTTTTCCTTCTTACTTTTAGTTGGGAAAAGAATGAGCCGCTCGCCTTAACACCCAAAAGTAAAGAACAAAGGGAAGCGGAGGGACGTGCATATTGGTAAATTAGGAGCCACGTTTTCTTATCACAAGGAACTTCTTTATAGGTTTCTGTATAGAATCAACACTATATAGGTTATCATTGTTATAGTCAAGTCTTGTCGCTGATGCTGTCCTCATGCAGTAGGAATCTGATACTTGACAACGAAAGTAGCATCTACAGATCCCACCCATAATGTCCCATCTCTTTCTTCCACTTCACTCACTGATCCCCCTCTTTCCCTCCCCTGAACCATTTCCATTACTTCACCTTCTTCACTCAACCGAATTGCGAATCCCGTTTTGCCTTTTATCTTGGCCAAATACGAATACGCTTTTGTAACGTCCAAAGGAAGCTTAAGCATGGCTTTCCCAATCCAGGGATATGACAGAATCCACCGAACAAGTTTCTCTCGTCTCGCAAAGATTCCTACCCAATACCCCCCTCTCGGACTGCGTTTAATGTTGTCTGGGAAACCTGGGAGCTCAGCGAACACCTCCAAGGTTCCAGCTTTTGATGTTGTCAGCCAATACCTCAGTACTCTGCACTTACCCGTCTCCGCCACTAGAATATAATCACCGTCTTTGCTCAGAGCCACCCCATTTGCAAACAACACATTCCTCAGAACAACACTCACATGTTTGGTTTCTGGGTCATATTTCATCACCATCCCTGTTTCATCTCCGCTAAGTATCAGAGAAATGTAATCCCTGCATTTTGCAATCTTTGTGAGACGGGAGATACCCATGAATTGGATTCAGCATATTGCAGTAACAAAGTCAGAATCAGAACATGTATATAGACACACACCGTCTGTGAAATATGGAGCTACTGGAGGTGAAGTAAACAACTCCAGTGGTTTGATCAATATCCAGATTGTTGGTGAACGCCAAGGGAGCAGTGTCTTTTACTTGAGATGTGATACAAGTGGGGATGCCTCCATTGGAGGGGACAACAAGAAGGCCGAAATAAGCATCGGCGATGTAGAGATCACCAGTTGGGCTGAAGCACAACCCGAGTGCTCGACCACACCTATGCTCTGTTTTACGATGTTCCGCGTACGATGTTCCTCCACACCCTTCTCTGCCAAACCCAATGAAATTGTCAGTTTACATTGTATCGCTGGCTTTCATGGGACTACCTCGTCACACGCAATTTTTAGGTCAAGACTCACATGTCACGTGCACTAGCTGTAACATAACAGCCGCACGTTATACCGAGGTTTCTTTTAATTTGAGCATATTTGATTAGAAAACGTAACGTCTCTTACATTTTGACGTAAAAATGCAGTATACATATGTGCTAGCGGAGTGGGTGGATTCTCTCATAATTCTTCTTTCTTTTTTCTACTCAGAATCTCATCCCCATCGATGCATCAAATAATAGATATTCAGATTTAATATTTTAAAAATACCTTCTCTCTCTTATTTATGTAATGTTACAATAACAGTTTTATAAAATATAAAATCTGAACCATTTATTATTTAATATAATGGTGGAGATCAAATTCTGAAAAGAAAAAGAAAAAGAAGGATTATGAGAAGAGGTGAATATGATATTTAAAACATAGCAAGCTATCCACCATCATAATCGTCTGAGTGCTACTATCTCTGGTCCTAATTATAAGAGCCAGTTGACTAATTTAAGGAGATTAAGAAAAAAAGTTAAATTAGTTATTTGTAATAACTAAATGTTGTCTTTCTTAAAATATCCTTGCTAATCAAATATATTAGTTAGAATTATCATTGTTAGAAGAGCTACATTAGGAAAAAAATACATAAATATGAAAGACAAAGTGGATTGGGATATTATATTTAGAAACAAAATAAAAATCAAACAAAGTCTTATTCTAAGAATCAGAGGTAGTATATATTTTGAGGTTGGAAAGTAACATCGTTTCTTCGTGCAAGAAAGTAAGGGGGTGTTTGGGAACTTAAAAAAGTACTTTTAAAAAGCATTTTTCTGTAAAACAAAACAGACTTATCCACATATTTACTTTATATACCGTAAAAATACATTTAAAACCGTGATTTTGTTTCTATCCAAACACTTAAGCGTTATTTCATGCTAAGTTAAAGAGAGAGTTTTTAATAACGAAGCAAATGGAGTGAGTGTATGTTATATAAAAAGTGATGATGTCGTGCGGCATGAAGGCGTCAGTGGGCTCATCATTTCCTGGTGGGGACGTCCCTGTTCTTGTTAGTTCACATTCTCAGGGGCTGCATATACTTGCACTTGCAGAACGTGGAACCAAATTTCACCTAAAGTACTCAGCGAATGAATGAAAGAGTGAGGGCCCCAGGGGGCACGTGGCAACACAAGAGAAGGGGACTGGATCGGGGCGGGGCTCCAAAGCAAACAGTGGCCACCCACATGCGACCCTTCTAAGCAAACACAACGCTTTCGTCTGCTTGCGGTGGCCTCTGGGCTTCTCCTTCCCTGCCACCTTCCAACCGTACTCACACGCCATTCACTTCCTCCTTATTTCATTTCTCAGTTTCCATTATTTTCTCAAAACAAAATTAGAAACGGTTCAAAGTGTAGCATGCAGCAACTAATATATATCTTTTCTATCCGCATCATAAACGATTACTTCTCTGCATGTGCTATAGCAGATGGAGAGGGGTCATCTCACCTGTGTGGAGAAGTGGCCGTAAAATTAACCCAACGCTTTTCATTCTGATCCCATCTGATGATCCGGCCGTCGGACACGCCGGTATAAGGGCCTTGGCCGTCGGGGCTGAAGGCGAAGCTCTCCGGTCCCACACCGCCGATGTTCTCCGTTAACGGAACAACCTCGTGTGGCCAAGGCTCTCCACCGTGGGAGGGCCCGACGTGGTTACGGGCGAACCAAGCAGAGACCACAACAACAACGGCGGTCGCCGCCCCCAAGTACAGCCGTGGCTTCATCATCGCTGCTGAGAGAGAGAGAGAGAGAGAGAGAGAGAGAGAGAGAGGCTGTAAATTGCGCTTGATGAATAATTAAATATGTGTGATCCTCTCCTCCCTCTCACAGGTTCTCCGTAGCAGACCAATAAGTCCCACGCACAAGCAAGGAAAGAAAATGACGATATTAGAGTTCCCATTGTGGGGTTTTCTTCCAACTGGGAATATTTTAATGCGACTATTCTAGTAATTTACATTAATGACATCAACGTTCTAGTTGCCTTCAATCTTGGCACTGATCTGCCCAACAGTCATCCTGTATTTATGCCAATATTGACAAAAAAATGCGCTCCACATGAGCCATCCTGTCCCATCCTAACAGACGAAATCTGATCACAACCCCAAGATAGAACGCCTTAGTCATTCACCCTTTATTTCTTACTAATCCATCGCAAGTTGGTTAGGCCCAAAAAAGTGGGCACCTGACAATAATAATTCCCACAATTTTCATGCATCTGAATCGTATTCTGCAACAACAGTACAAAAATTGACGCAATCTTTCCCGTTAATCATTACACGTCCATTATTCTTAGTTCTTTCGGGAAATGTTGTGTTTATGAAGGAGTGTGTTCAAGATCTCGTCGAGAAGCTAAATTTAGTGGGAAAAGTTGAATGCCAAGTTTAGTGCGATGCGCACTAGCTTCTATGATGGACAGTTACAATATCATGCTCATAACTCATAAATGCCAATAAAGGGCATTAACACTGAACCAATCCAGAGCTTCCCATCCTTCTCCTCCACTTCGCTAGCAAATCTCAAGGCCTTCCCTTCACAATCTTCCAACACTTGCAATACTTCTCCTTTATCATTCAGCTTCATAACAGAGGAGTGAGGCTTCCACCCGGTGAACGATGCGTGCAATTGTTTGAAGTCGAGTGGAAGATTTAGCATTCCATTTCCAGCCCATGACTTTGAAGAAACCAATCTGGCGAAAGGACTAGCTTTTGCATGCAAAGCCACCCAAAACTCCCCCTTTGAGTTCCTTCTTATATTATCTGGCAAACCAGGAAGCTCAGCAAATGTGTCTACTTGACCTGCGTTGGGTCCACGAAGCCAGAGCCTACGGATCCTGCATGCAGAGGATTCTGCCACCAAGAGAAATGAGCCATCTTTGCTCAGTGCAACTCCGTTGGCAAAAGCAAGCCCCCTCATCAACACCGTCACTTCTTTGGTCAACTTATCATATTTCATTAACCGACCAGTCTTGTCCCCACTAAGAATCGAACTCATGAATTCCCTGCAAACAAGAGCACTAGGCAGTTTAGAGACATGAAATTAAATTTTGTGTTAAAGAATATATATATTTATATTCCTCAAACAGTTTCACATAAGCAGCAAATTAAACATCATCTCCGCAAACACTGGATCATTGTAAGGAAATGCAAAAACCAGAGGGGTGTAGGAAGAGAGGGATGGGTTTGTTTTTGGGAATATACAGATTACCTTCTGTAGAAGACAGCGCTAGAATCAGTGAAGTAAATGACATCTTCGTCCTCGCTGATGTCCATGCTATTGGTGAAGCGCAAGGGTTGACCCTCAACATGGGTGACCAAAGGGGTGGCTAAACCACCTGTAGGTCCCACGACTTGAAGGCCAAGGTAGGCATCGGCGATGTACAGATCTCCACTTTTCTTATCAAAACTCAGTCCAAGTGGCCTCCCACAAATATGCTCCAACTCTGGTGCAAATGGACGTGTACATTCCGTCCTTCAAAGGCAATAAAACCATGCGTTAATGATTACTGTGAGGACCTTATATTAGCACAAGATCTCTAAGGCAGAAACAAGTCTCGAATACTACTCCATTACTAGCAAACTATCATTTGGAAGTTTTTCATAGAGCCATCAAAATGAATTGGCCGGGCAACTTAATTATGTACTCAACTCGAAATGCGTTGTAGATTATATAAATTGGCTCACTCAGCCACCGTGCATAACATTATTTTTTGCCGTACAGCATCACCGGACATAATTATTTACGGATTAAACATGGATGAATTGGAGATTTATAAATTAAAAGGTTATTTTCAATATATAAAATATAATAAATTTTAAATATCTCTGCGTTTGTGCGTTTAAACAAAATCAATCGACCTATTTTATATATTGGCTTCGGGTGACCCTATAAAATAAATAAAACTCCAAGCACCTCTATCAACTGGCGTGTCAAAACCTGTCGGGCTTTCTGGGGTGTTTTTCCTCAGCAGGAGGGGGCATTTTAAGTTTCGGGTTCTCTAACAAACAGCTAATGGACGTCTAGTCTTTTCGCCTTTCCTGACTTGTAAGATCCTTTTTTTTTTTTTTTTTTTTTTGAGGGGGGATGTTGTAAAATTTTGTAAAGTTTAAAAAATAATATAATATGTAAGAGTATGCATGGGATATATTTGATATTTTTAAATTTATAATAAAAATTTGAAAATATAACTATTTCAGAAATTGTCTGGGTTGGTTCAAATTTTTTAAAACTTTTGTCAAAATTTTATAAAAAAATCCCTAAAAAATAATATTGTGTCTGGCCAAGGTGGGGAAAAAATGTTGGATGCAAATGCAATCGATGCCCCGCCGATCCTCTTCCTTTCTTTTTCGGCCCGTTCAACTCATGAAGTTGTTCCCTCGCGGGCCACAGATTGAGTCATGTTCTAAGTTGCAGGATTAGCAAGTTCTTAACATAAATAATAAATCAGGGTAAAATTCCTCAACATCAAACATGACTCCAAAGGGGAAAGGTTTATACACTGAAACCGAGCACAAAAAGGAATTCAGAAAAATGAGAAAACAAGAGCCAAATTACCTATTAGAAGTTGTGAAGGCAAAATCACTCCAGCCTCGACCCTCTCCTTGCCACTTGAGAATTCGTCCGTCGGCGACGCCCGTGTACGGACCCTCCCCGTTGCTATCGAAGACGAGGCTCTCCGGCCCGACGGCTCCGGTGACATGGAGGATCTGAGCAGCGTGGAGCAGATCCTCAGAACCCGGAATTGAAGGAGGCCCAAAAAATAGCTTAGAGTTGAAGGCAAATATTATGGAGCAGACGGCAAGCACAGTGGCTATGACCTTTGAGCTCATGGTCTCACCTCACAGAACCCCAGGATGGATGGAGTCCACCACCAGAATTGGTCCCGCTCGCCTCTTTTGCCTTGGGTTTATGGTGAGACTCACAGGAAATTACATCTAGATTATTAATGAGAGACTTTTAATTAGAAATTTTTAATACAAAACATTTCCAGCTAAACTAATTGATTTTTCTATGGATGCATCCGGGAATAGGAGTGTTTGGTTGCCGGGTAAGATTCTCTGGCTGTGAGGGGTTAGGTAGTGCTCCCAGAGGCGCACGTGAATCTATCCTAAAATTGTTAAGATCATAAGACGTTGTAATTAACGTGTGCGCCTGTGCATAATAATTAATAAATGTGTTGTTAAAACTTTTATATTTCGCACTTGCACATAACTCAAAATAAACTATATCCTCTTTGTTGTCTAGGGCTTATAATGGAATTTCTTGCAGTTTTTTTTTATAAATATATTAAATATAATACTAACACTGGTGATCTATATTCTTTTGTTTTTTTGGTACAAGTGATCTATGTTCCTTATACGTCACTTAAAACTCAAATGGTCTTTTGGGCCCAAATTTAAGCAATACACGGCACCTTTCTTAAATTCTGGGCCCAAGTTTTAGGCCCAATATTTAAGCAATACACGAGCACCTTTCTTAAATTTAGCGGCGATTAATTGAACTGGGCCTAAAGGAGCGAACACTTCAAACGAGGTTACAATTTGGGGACAACAATGTCCCCAGAAAAAGAATGTGATGACAATATTGTCAAAAATGGTACCAAAAACAGCGTTTTAGCCTAAAGGAGCCCATATTTGAAAGCGGGTCCATCACAAAAACATTTGTGGAGTTTTTTTTTTTTTGGCAACAGCAAAAAAAAGAAGAAGCATTTTTATACTTTACGAAATAAAATTTCTGCTATATGTTTATTCGTATAACATAAAATTACTCAAATTAAGATAAATCAAATACCTCCAAATAGTGTATTGTTTATTTGAACGATAATGTAGTATAAAATTAAAAAGAGATAAATATGATCCTGCAGTGTTGCAAAGAGTCAGAGCTCGCTAGCACTGAAATTGCCCAAACACGTGTAGATAGGGGACACGGTTTGTTTGGGCTCATGGGGGGCTAGGTCAAATCGCCTTTTAGATTCTGTAACATTGTTGTAAAGTTAAATTTTAGTCGATCACATCTCGTGGAAGGAGCGAGTACTGGACCCACGTAAAAAGATATTTTGAAATTATATCATAAAATATTTTAAGATGTTAGATATACTTGAGAAAATATTTCAGAATATTGGGTGCATTCAATTTTTTTTTTTTAGCCAACAATTCATTAAATTAGTAGCGAATTAAATTAATCGACTGTGCCTTTTGGAGACAGATAACGGAGGGACATTAGATGGGTCACTGGGCGCAGAAAGCTCGAAATAAATGGCAATGGGCAATGGCAGGGTCAACGAAGCACCAGGAATAAAGTTATACTTTTTGAAAAATTGGGCTTTACAAAAATGCTCCTTCCAACGCATTAGATTGTCTCGGATTTCGGATTTCATCTGTCTCCGTTCGCGCGCATCTCAAAGGTTTTCTGAAGGGACTAATTAATAATTAGACTGTTTTTATGAAATATGAAATATTAATTAGAATAATAAAAGCCGGCGCTAAACGGTAAATCAGGCACAATGTTACATGTTCCCCTCGATGATATTACCTCCTATTCTAAATATAAAAACTAATTGACTAATTTAAATAGATTAAAGAAACAAATTAAATTAGTTATTTGTAATAAATAGGTGTTGTTTTTTCTAAAATATCCTTACTAATCAAATTTGTTGGTTAGAACTATCATTATTAGAATGACTATCTTAGAAAGAAAATGAATAAATCTGAGAGACAACGTGGATTATAATCTTATATTTAAAACTAAAATAAAAATCAAATACGGTCTTATATTAAGGACCCGGAGAAAGTATTATGTTATATGAGATACTCCTTCAGTCCTTAATATAAAATCTATTTAACTAATTGAATTAAATTAAGGAAGTTGGGTAAGTAAGTTAATTATAGAAAATATGACTTTTTTTAAACATCATAATTATCTTTTTTAATATCTTCTCTTCTTTACTTATTTGGTTATGACTGAGAGAATATCCATATAAATAATTTTAAAAAAATTGATAAATATAAAAATTAGATCTTACATTTAAAATAAAAATTAATTTAATAATGAGGTGTTATCCTGAGGATTGAAGGAGTATATGATATTTCATGCAATGTTACATTAATTGCTGCGTACGGTGTTGATATATTTATCCAGTCTTGTTTACCTATGCAGGTCAAAAAAGTCTTGTTCACCTATATTTTATTTTATTTTTTGGGTGAATGCCCAAATTTTGCATTTCATCGCAATTGATGCTCGCCTTTGTGTATCCGAGCCATTTAGATAAGATTTGGATAATTTCAATTATATATATTAATAATTTTTATCCTTAGTTAAACGAATATAACACATTACTCTTGATCCTTAATAGAATAGAAGAACTAGTTAACTAGTTTAAGTAGATTAAAAAAACTAATTAAATTAGTTATTTATAATAAATAGATGTTATCTTTCTTAAAATATTATTATTAATCATATGTATTAATTATAACCGCAGTTTGACAAAACTTTTTAACATGTGCAACTATTACAATACAAAGATTACTTAAAAAAAACAAAGAGAGAGAGGGATAAAGCAGGCTGAACTTTTATATTTATAACCAAATAAAGTTAAACTAATTCTTATATTAAAAAGTGAAAATAGTAACATCAATATTATAACCATTAACAAACCCATAAAACAACATTCCTCCAGTTTTAAATATAAGACACGTTTTATGATATAACTTGTAATAAAATAACAAATATTAGGCCTGTCCTCATTTCATGACAGCATTGATATGCCACACACATCGGCATGTGGCTTCCTGAGATGATTTTTCATGATATATTGTCCATTTTCATTATAACAAGCTAAGAATTTTGCCTTTTGCGCGAGTTTTTTTAATAACTTATTATTCAAATAATACAATCTTGAGCTCGTGACATAATTTACATCATTACTTATTCCTACTGCCTCGATTTTTTTTTTCTTTCACGAGTTTTTTATTCATCATCCCATTTCAACAGGCTGTGCTAATTTTCATCGTATAACATGATTATATATGTCACTTCTATGGTACGAATCAGTCTTGATTTTTTTTTTTCTTCATTTGGAAGTCAAACCATGCCATTTTATCTTAATTATATTTCCATATATTGTTAGATTTTTGCACGGTCTAATGATAATATATGATTAGTTGCCATATCTTTACTGGTCAGAGGAGATCTTATAAAAAAAATTATTCTATAAATTCGTTATCTGTCAAACAAAAAAAAAATTGTCTTTACGACTTTTCCAAAGTCAGCATGATCCCTTAATTAGCCATACTCATGCGAACGAACCATATTAAACTTTAGTTAGTCAATTTTGGCAACAACCTGATTTTCCACACTTTGAAGTTGTAACTAAATTACCTGATTTAATAAATCCGTTGTGAATAATATGATTTAATTACTACACATGCTATATTATTTTTTTTCTTATCTGACTTTTCCTCAGAGCACAGGGTGTATATATAGAGATGCCAGTCGAGTGGTAGGAAATTAAAGGAATTTTTTTCGACCTGAAATAAATTAAAAGGAATTGAAACAAAGCACTCAAAACAAAAAGAGGTATTTTATTTAAATAAGAGAAGAACAAAAAAGAACTTTAAGGCCTGATAATCTCTCACTTTCACATACTTTTGATATTAAACTCACCTGAATAAAATCGGCCTAGCTAGCTAGTTAGTGTTCCTAAAATTGATTAGCTGAGATTACTCAAAAAGGCTCTAAATTATAAATTAAAAAAGAAACAAAAGAAGGAGGATCCTCTCTAATCTAATCAGCCTAACAAAGAGGGGTCTAACTCTAAACAACCAATATTAATATACTATTATGACTCGGAATTTCAAATTTGGCAGACGTGGTAGTCGTTTAGGCTTTACACGTAACTTGAATTTTTCTCAGGTTTACGCTGTAGGAGAATGTGTGCGTTTGATATACACCCCACACCTAATTTCCTAGGTGCCATTATCGTATAATAGTTAATTAATTAAAAACTAATCTCTAATCTCTCTGCTCTAATCTCCTCTTAATTATATTTCTAAAACAGATCCCATCGTACAGCCATATCTCTTAAACTAATTAGCTTGACTTAATTATTCATTGAGAACCCCCCATAGCTCGATCGATGGCCTTTTTTTTTAATAAAACCATCATGGACGAATCATGTGTATATTATATTATATTGAACCATTACAATATCTTAAATCATTGCATCCAACGATTGGCCGCAAATACATATATATAATGTGTGGTTAATTAGGTCCAACCCATCAATTTTCTATCAACATAAAATATCAAAAGATATCAGGATGCCAGAATATTAAAATAAAAGTCCGTACTCCTTGCGTCTCTATATGTTAGACACCTTGTAAAAGAAATTTATTGTCCTTAATATAAGTTATTTTTCATCTCTTAATGCAGCATTTTATGAGCCATCTTGTAAATGTCCACCTCTTTTCCTATGAAAAAAAGGACGCAGTGATAAATGTCTGGCAAGTTACAATGAGTGAGGAGACATAAAATTACTCATTCAGTCCTTAATATAAGACCTATTTAACTAATTTGATTAGATTAAAGAAGTTAGGTAAGTTAGTTAATTATAAGAAAAATGACACTTTTTTCCAAAAACACCATGATCATCTTTCTTAATACCTCATATCCCTCTTCTATTTGATTATGGTTGATAGAGTATCCATAGAGGTAATTTAGAGAAAATTAATAAATATGAGAAATGATTCTTATATTTAAAACTAAAACCAACTCAAGTTGGGTCTTATATTAAGAAGCCGAGGGGTATTAAAGAAACTATGAAACAACGGCAAAGGCATAACTTTGATGTCCAATGGAAAGAGATCCCGAGGCAGTGATATGGAAAGTGACACAAACTTTAGATAACTTTATTGTTTTAATTAATTTATTTTTATTAAAGGTTAAAA